CACTAAAATTTAATCATTTAGGGTTCAAACCTGGACATATTGTTTAAAGCCAGTAGCTCGGTAGAATCGGTAAATGGGTGCATGGTGTGCAACATGGGCTTTCACTGTCAGTGCAAAACACCAGTGTCTCAGCAAATATGGTTGAACAAAAAGTAAAAATTAAAAATTAACGAAGTAAGCATTTTGTTTGTTTGTTATTTTAATCGTAAACATCAAGCGGTTTTACTTTAATTGTAGGTTTGGTTTAAGAATAGGCGCGTAAAGTGGAGAAAAGAGATGCGTAACTGTGGACTTCCAGAGAGGGGCAAAACTGCTTGTTTGATGAACAACCTGTCTCAAGCTGCTGCTTTACCCCCGCAACGGAGCGCTTCGCAACCAGAAGTCGATAGACACAACAATGAGGGTACAAACATGCAAGGCTTACCTCTAGAGCCGTCACAGAGCAGCGCCCTGTCAGATCATTCAGATGTTCATCATTGGTTGCGGAATTACAGTGGGGAAACTTTAAGCTTGCGACCCACCAATTTTTTCTACAGGGAGAGAAAGGGTTTTGTATTTCAAACTGCAGGATCCACTCGCATGCAATGTTCCATTAATAGCACCAACATGATGGACAACTTTGGTTTTATGGGTAACAGTAGTCAAAGTGGAATGGTACTTGACGACGACGATACCCGCGCCTCTTTGATTCGTAATGGTGGCCGTTTGTTTGAGAGTAACGTGAAATGTGGGCCTTACGTCATGCATGAGCCCATAGTGTGTCGACAATATCAGCCTTCATATCTTCTAAGGCCGCCATGTCAAAGAACAAATTTGAGTCAAAGGAGTGTTATACAACAAGTCTGTGTTACTGAGCAGACTACCCCAAACCAAAAAGGAGATCCAGGTGGAGACCACAACCGACCAAAGCAAACAGTGGAACCCATGAACGACGTAACTGTCCAAGTTGGCGAAAATGAGTGGCTTTTGGATGATCTAATGAACATTATTGCCAAAGAGCAGCTAAAAGAGCAGAATGACCTCTAGCAGAATTGAATTTGTTATAGGTCACCTGGGACTATATGGGCGCTATCCATTCAACAAAAAATTCCCGGCTGAGGTTCGATAATTTCGTGGGGACGAATGGATCGCGACGGCGACCGGTGTCGTTTCATTCCTCTCTCAAAAAAAAATGGCTGATGTTGTGTTGCTTGTGTCAGAGTTAGAAGACTATTTCGATTTTAGAAATGTTGTCGTGGAAGATGATGACCGGTTGAATGCTTGCTGAGGACGAATTAAGTAAGGATTTGTTGAAGAAAACGAATTATTCCAAGAATAAAACGGTAGAGCTCTAGTTGGAGGCTGAAAAGTCAACATCCTCGGACGAATTGGTTTTGGTGGGAATAGTCGCAGTCGAGACGCGCACACAGACTGACTTTTTAACTCACGGCATTTTAAAACTTCGTCGCCATCTTGACACTGAGACGTACGGAAGGGTTGCCATGGCAATTTTGTAATTTTACAAATTAACACTGAAATTTCGCGCCAAAATTAAGGAATAATTCGTCACCTATGATATTACTGTAAAAATTGCTACAAATTAAGACATGTTGACAGATCTCTCACTAGGCCAATAAAGAGCTTTTCTAACTTATGATTTTATTTAATGGGATGTTTACTTTTTCTTTATGATCGCCCACGTTTACCTGAAACAAAGCATCATTCTAAAAAGCTCTAAGAAACTGAAGAACATCAGTAGACTGTTTGCAAGTGTTCTGTTCTTACATGATGTATTTATAGTCCGTGAACTTTATTGCGGACTATTCACTTGTTGTGAACTTCCGTGCGCGCGGAGCATCCATTACTATAGAAATTGGGAACCGATCTATGCGAGAAAATTAGGTTATTAAGACTTCATGGTACATAAGAACGTCCCTAAGACGTTCGTACGTTCTCTTCAGGGTGGGTTTAAGTCAGTAGACATGAATTCCTCCCCCCCGCACACCCTAGAGAGTTTTGTCCCTTATTGTTTCAAAAGGCTTTAGAAATGATTGACCAATCAGAATCTGTCTACGATGTCTGGTTAGCATATGTTTGGTGGTTTTTAGGGGGTAGGAGAAGAGACGGATTTGACACCTTAGTAAAGGGCATTAACATTTTCAACAAAATGGCTGGCGTGCGTTTACCAAGCGGTAGTTTTCAAGACCAAAGTGTTGCATTTCAAGTTTGAAAATACACACGTCCGATAAAAGACGCAAATGGAAAGGGAAAGTTCAAGGGAATGCTCGTTTTCCTTTTTGTGGACAAACGAAAGATTTTCGTTACTAAATTGTCTTTAGAGGAATTCAACACTGTTTTCTTCACGGCGGAACTCTTGGCCTGTTTCGAGCCAACCAAGCAGCGAAGTTTTGGAAGAAATCTCAAATACATTCTGTACTCTATGGTCAAGGAAAGTACGTTTTCAAAAGGGAATTTTTGTATTTATAAAGGTTTCATACACGTTTTGTACATTTTGACATCGGCGTGAAAGAAAGCTGAAAGAAAAACTACAAAATGTGCCCCGATTTGAAACTGATTTTATGTTGAATTTTGCCATGTTCTCAGCCAATTGTACTTGGGTGAACGATCCACCATCAAGTTAGTGTTTCGCGAATTGCAATCAAGGATTAACTTATGGGTTTTTGAATAAAAATTTTCAAGAAATTAAATAATTTATCTGTGTATCTTGTTCATTCATAACATTAACTCAAAACACGATCGAAACAGTTCGGGCATGCTACTCGCCTGTCTTGAATAAAATTGAAGTTTTGTTGTTCAGTACACGTTTCATTGAATTGTTATTTATTTTCTTTTTCATTACTTGCCTTTTAAGAAGTTTGCATCGTGTTACTTTTAAAAGATTACTCGTGTCCTGAATACCGCTTGAATCAGAATTTTGATACGTTCGTTCACTCTTTCTATCCTCGCTGATAAAATTATCTAAAAAATGAAAGAGTTCTCCTTCTTCTAACGACGGAATGGTTGGTTTTTCGAGCCTGAGTTGGCTTTTGAAAAAAGTTTGAAGTAGTGATTAACTCTATCGCACGTTTCTATCAGATAATATAAGGTATAAATGTAAAGGCTACATATAACTGTTCGCCAGGGCTCGATAAGAAAACGCATGATAAGCTCACCGAAACACAAAAGTCGTCCTGATTCTTCCCTTATAGAGATAAAAATACTAACGCCAGAAATTGCTGCTACTGAAGAGACCTATAACTTCGCAAAGGGTTGTTCTATGATGTTTACCTAGTTTGGAAAGATTCTACTACAGTAACAGTGATTGAACGTGATGCCTAATGAACATTTTCGGGGGTAAATATGCGACTTTCAGCTTGCTGGGAGAGTTTTCTCCTCATTTCAGGTGTGTTTGCGGGATATTTTTTATTTATGATTTAGCCCCTCCCTCTAAGGGTAAAGTGATGCCAAAGTCTCCTAAAGTTAAATAGGGATTTGAAGATTTCTTTTAATGGCTTACAGTAAATTAGTTTAAAGTTAATTGCTTTTATTATGAAAATATAAACGGAGGCTTCTCTTTTAGCCCTGGCTAAATCTATATATTATACGAAAATGATCATTGGAGTTTTCTTCCTCCTCCTCCCAAGTGAAAACGAGCACTTTCGCCGACTAAAACCTTGTGTGCCACCTTTGACAGCGCTAGAAACCACTTAGCCACCATCGCTGTCCCTGATGACCCGCTGTCAATAGCAGCATGTCCAGAGAAGAGCAGCAGGTGGTGCTCAACAGACCGAACTATCGGCTAATCGAGATGATGACGCGTGGCAAACGATCGAAGTCCGACTAGGGCCTGTTAACGGAGTACTGCGCCATAAGAAATAATGTTAACCTATTACTTTATTCTTACCAAGATAGATTTTTGACATTAACTTAAACAAAATCTCGATACGGGTGAGACTGAAAGGTGACGTCCCGGAAGGCCGGAAGTAACTGAAGATGTACTGTTTACCGTAGATGCTGCCATCCTGTTCTAGGATATACGACCATTCTATTCATGCATTTATTATTCATAAAACATATCTATGTTTAAGTCCCAGATTAACAACTGAATAAAATTTTGGTACCTGTCCCTTCGATTTAAGGACTCGACAATTTTTATGTGTTTCGCTTCAATGCTCACTTGGCCGAATAGTCTTTTCATTCTTCCTCACATTTCCTTATCTCTTCCTAAAGGAATTGGCACTGATTAATAGTTCGCATTGGAGAGCAGAGCACTAATCTTGTGAAGTTAGTACCTTAATTCCAATGTATGCACATTGACACAGAAGTTTTAGTAGATTTTTTTAAACGACAGGCAAGGAACTAACTTTGCGTGCAAGCGGTCTTTATAGCACAATATAGTGCAAACCAGTCTCGCGTTTAGTTTTTCATTATTTTCAAAGATGGTATCATGTCTCCTTCACTCTCCTGTGTGATCCGGTCTGTATTTAGGCAATTCAACGTACTATTGGAGTCCATTTTTGTGGCAATGAGTTTGGGCTAAACACTGTCTTTCTTATAGTACGGCTGATGCATAGTTTTGGTGACACATGTGCGAGATACAACTTTAGCAAGGATGGGTCTATCCTTTGGGCCTTTTGTACTTATACAGGGAATCAATTGAAGTCACCTCCCCCCCTCCCCCCAGGATATTTTGCACACTTACACTTTTCCGAAGGACTGAAATAACTGTTAAAATCTATTCAACCATAACCGGTTTTTGATGAACTAAAACAGTACTAACTGTAACGAAAACAATTTGAAAATAAGGAGCTGTTTTCTTGTCGCGGAAAGTGTTGCCACCTGCTAAGTGCGGCATGTTTCCAAATAAGAATAATTATTCAAAGGCTTTTAATTGGCCGAATTTTACTTATTTATTTACAACTTTTTACTGTGGATAACCAAAATTAAATAGCTTCACCCAATCCCCAGGCCCTCGAGTGGGAAATTAGTGCGCTGGAAAGCAAAATGCTTTACTAACGGCCATGAAAATTCGAAGTCTACTGATACTCCAGGCTCTCAAAGCTTTCGTAACTTTATCTTGTACTTGTGAAGTTTCAGATCACTCTCGGATTTCATATCGTTCTCAAGATGACAAGGACATAGCATTTGGCGCTCTTTTACCTCTTCGGTCCAAAGATAAACAGGGAAGATGCGAAACTCCTGCATACACAGAAGGTATTCTTTGGCTGAGAGCTTTGAATTATGCAGTTAAGGAAGTAAATAGAAGATGGACGAAAGAGTTTAATGCGTCTTTTCGTTTAACAATCCGTGATACATGCAACGATGAACAAATAGCACTGGAAAAAGCTCTCGAGTTTGCGAAAGGCTACAGAAATAGAGACTTGGGTGAAGCTCTAGTTAGAGAAGAAAATACCACTGAAGATCTAATAAAGCCTGTATTGGGTGTAATATCAGCTTCTCGAAATCAAGATGCTTCAGTCCTTCTAAGTCTCTTCAAGGTCCCACAAGTAATTTTTGGCAGGGGTAAAACAGCGGTTGAGAATTCTAAAGATATCTTGCGTTCTATTTCAGTCGGTTTTTACAGAGCTCGTGCGCTCACAGATCTTGTGAAATATTTTTCCTGGGAAGCTGTATCGGTAGTTTATTCGCCCACGCATCAAGATGATTTTGAAACCTTTCTGCGCATTTCGAGGATAGAAAACCTCTGTGTTGCACTTACAGTAAAGCTTAGCGATGACTATGAGCATGTTGTAGACAAACTGTTGTCGGAACCTCAATCTACAGTGGTTTTTCTTTTTACCACGGAGGAGGAAACGAGTGCTTTGCAACAGAGTAAGTGTATCTGATTCTTCGTTTTGCCCAAAGAGTCAAAAGCCGTTTTGTAAAACCACCGCGATGATCTCGTAAGTTTCTAATTTGCACTGAGCTAAAAAAGTCGTTTTGAACAAAAAGTTGTTGGCTCCTGGTTTTATGGAACTACAGACGTTTGATGGACGTCATCCGGTTTGCCCGAGCATTTAAGTGAAAAGTGGCAAATGGTAGTATCTCGAGACAATGAAAATTTAAACAAATATAAATTTGAAATAATAATGATAAAAAAATGATCATGGCTGAAAAGGCAAGTGCAACCGCCATTGGCTATTTGAAACTGGTTCTTGGCAAATGTTCAAATATTAGAAGTGCATTGTATAATTAACACAAGCAATTTTAATAATAGCCCTCAATTTTCCTGAGGATTATTTAACTTTATCCGGTAAATTTTGTGATGAACCCTTTAACCTTTTTAAAATAAATTATAACTTTGAACATGTAATATTTACTTATTTCTCTTTTACAGCCGTAAAGGCAAAGGCACATCAAAGGAATCATTTTACGTGGATCTTATCCAGCCAACAAAATATTAACTGTTTTAGTGAAAATTCTGAAAGCGACGAACTATTTCTTCAACCTCAATTTCCTTTTATTGAAGGATTCAGGGACTATTTGGAAAACAAAGATAGTCTTGTTAAGTTCAAAGAGGTTCTTGAGTCACCGATAGCTTCAAGCAGCTGTTTAAACTCTGCAAAGTTTGAATCGACGGACAAACATACAAAGGAAGAAATCCAGTCGTCTATGAACAGTGTTTATCTCCTTGCGCACGCATACGAAACAGCCTTTCAAACGCATCGAGAGCATTTTGACAGTGTCTTTTTCTCTAGAAGTCTGGGTTATGTACACGGCACGTTATACAGTCAAAACTGGAAGCTGTTTTCTGGTCAGCGGAGTATGAAAGAGAACATGTTTTCTTTGATCCAAATACGACACAGTAGTTCTTCAAAGCGGGTTATTAATATTGGTACTTGGGATAGCTCTTGGTATATTAACAAGCTTGGAATTAACTGGAGTAGCCATTCAACACCAAGGTCCTCGTGTGGCGTCCAGTGCTCCCCTGGCTTCATCCGGGTTCTAAAGAATGGTAGTAAATGTTGCTGGTCGTGTCTACGTTGCCATTACAATCAAATTGTAACAGACGAATACACATGCGCAGACTGTTTGCGTGGGTACTGGCCCAATGAAGATTTTACCAAGTGCAAATTTCAGTGGAAAAGAACTTTTTTTGGCTGTACGCTGGCAGTCGCTGCTGTGGTGTTGGTCTTTTCATTTATGGTTCTTTGATGTTTCGCTTTGAAAAGGATTCTAATTTTCTGGAACTTTTTTCTTGTGGCGTCATAGGTTTAAATTCACAAGTCAAAAGAAAAGAGTCACTTTATTAAATGATCAGCATCACGGAAAAAACAAACAAACAAAACAAAGCAAATAATAAAAAAAGCAATAAACAAAATCAAACAGAACCAACAAAAAAGACGCTCTTCTGGCGATTAACTTGATTTCTTTCCTAGTTTATAACGTTTTGGAAAAGTATATTTTCTTCTTATTCTATGGAGGTTTGATCTTAATAGTCTTACGTACTCAAAAGATATAAGGGTATAGATATTTCTGTGTTTAAGCCACGTTTAACTGTTGTAATACAACATTATTGACATATTTGTTTTACTTGAAGGTATTTCAGAGCGTCTTTGTTATCTGTCGATTAAGCATTTCAGTAAATAAATTTGGTTTGTATTTAACTGTAATGTTATGATACCGAGTGATATAACATCACTGGGGTTTACCTTGACAAGCCCAGACCGTTTGACACGGCATAGTTAATGAAAAAAAAAATTACCTCAACAATTATGCTAGAATCTTCGCAGGGCTCGTTGCAACGGTTTTCTGTTGAAAATCAATTCACTTTTGCGTATTAAAGTCACATTTTTAGGTAAAATCATGGCAGGTAGATGCTTTGTTCTTTTTCAGTGATGTCAACAAATACAAAGCAGACAAAGGCATGCCCAAGAACTCCTGCATCTTGTAAATACAACAGCATTTCGGTTAGGTAATTGTTTTTCAGCACAATATTCAATCTTAACAAATTTTCAAACTTTATTTAGTCAAAACAGTACGACTTATTAGTTCTACGACATGTGCCTCAGCTCCCTGCGGGTACCAGCTAGCGTGGATCATTTCTCCACATGCAACGTATCTGGAACGTAAAACAGTTAATCATTTTCTCTTCAAGAAATTAAACCGAAGGATAATCACGGAGGAAACGCGTTTCATAAATTTAAGTGTGTTGTTCGCGCGATCAGATACATTGTGCACTATTGACAATTTTTATGCAGCAGAAGACTTAAAAAACACACACACAAAAGGGGTGTGCGGCACAACGCCATATGCTCGCTTTGTGCTTTCATTAATGTTCACCACATATCGAAAAGTTATATTCATCAATCAGTTTGTATTAAGCAATCCTTACTCTTGATGCAGTAGGACGAAGATCCTTCACGGATTTCTTAGTTCCTCAAGGGAAAAAGCCAATTTTACTTTCCAGACGCTCTATAGTTCATTGCTTTTCTCTTCTTCTCCGTATTTTGAAGTTTGCTCAACATTTTCCTTTCGTGGCCGGCTGGGCATGGTCTGTTAGTGTTCAAACTTGCTTCCCTTTTCGATCTTCCTTTGCGAGAATGGCTCACTGTTATGGCTGCAGGGTCGAAATTATAATAATCATATTCGTCCAGGTAGTACTCGATGTTGTTGATAAGTCGACGGCGTTGACTGACTCCTTTCATTTTTTCACCTACTTGAGCTTTAGCGATTCTTTTGAAGTGTTAAAAATTGCAGTTTGTGAAATACGACCTTGTCTTGTGATGTATACTTTCAGTAGGTGAATAAATAACAACTAAAGTGCAGGCTGCTTTTAAATACACCTTGCAGCACGTGAAACGCCCTGCGTTCTTCGACAAACAACGCACCTGTTGTAAGCGAGCTAAGATTTGATTGGCCGAGGAACAATCAGGTGTTTTATCACACCACCTGTCAAAAAGTGCAACAAATGAGTTGCATTGCATCAGGGGATTTAATAACAACTCCCTTGGGTGTGGTTCCAATAAAAGCGAATCGCAAATTACGGCTATTTTATTTGTGATTGTTGAATGATTGGTTTTGTAAAGAAAACATTCATATGTGAAAGTTGTGAAAAATAAAAAACTTAACTTGCGTAGTACAGTTTCAAGAAAAAAGAAAGACAGACAACAGTAGCAACAACAACAACAACAACAACAACAACAAAACAACAAAAAAACGTTTTGCGATTTCCCATCGCCACTATTACAATCCATCGCTAGTTACACCCTACGGATCGTTTACGTCTTAGGCTCTGTCCACACTATGGGTTTTCAAAAGTATGCGTTTCCATTGTCATCGAAAACGCATCGATCGTTTCACGTCCACGACACTGTTTTGATACGTTTTCGACCTTCCACACTAATACGATATGTATACGTTTTCATTTTGATCAATTTTCGAGGGCATTTTTAAATCGATGCGCTTTCGATGAAAACGCTCAGCGTATCAGTGTGGACGGGAGGCCTTAATGGATCGAAATGTTTGCGTCATTCAAACGAAAACGCATTAGTGTGAACAGGGTTTTAAAGATTGTGTGGCCATATATCTGTCTTCCCGCATCAATGCAAAGCCACGTAACGTTAGATGGCGGATCGATTCTATGAAACCATTTCGCAAACTGCCCACTTGCTCAAACTGAAATGAGTACATCTCATCCCTCCATGAAGTTATTAGTCAAAAGTTCTGCCCAAGTGAATCTAAATATTGTCATAACCAAAGGGTGGATTTCCTCTGTCGCTTAATTTTTGCGTAAAATTTACGTGCGTAAATAGAATAGAAGCAATGTGTGAAAAGCCGCGCGTAACAGTGAAATTGAGCGAGGTTCAACTTTCCTTTGTGTGCGACCTTCCATACATAGCCACTTTTTTAGGCTCACGTAAAATATATGCTGCGCGTGACAATTACACGACAGAGCACAGAAACCTAACTCTTCGCGCTCATTTTAAACACAAAGCCTCATTATACAAACAATTCTAGCTCACCTTGCCGAGCCGTGACTTTTGTCCTGGTATTCTGTACATGAAGAAGGCTAGCCAGGACCCCAAATTTCAACACAGAGAGTACAGGTATTGCGTATGAGTAGTTTTTCTCGCTGCTGCGGTCTGTTTCTCGAAAGTCCCGGAATCTTTTCGGGCCTGTGTTTGCATTCAAGATCAAAAATCCAATAATTTTGAAAATAATACAATGAAACTATCAGTTAACGAAACAAAATTGAATGGTTTGTGGGCTAGGAACTGTGCTACTATTCAACAGGTTGTGATTTTAAAATTTGCCTTCGCGCCAGAAAATTTTCCAGGTCTTTCGAGAAACCGGTCCCTTGGTTTGGTTCACCGGGCTGGCCTAGTTGGTAAAGGTGGTATTACGTGTACATGCAAAATTTCCAGTCTGGTTAGACGAGACCCTGGCGTCATAATGGATCCCAGCTAACAAAGCTGGCTCGGTTGTCATGTAATCACAAAGTTGATTTTTGTTGCCTTTTAACTAAGGTGCTGGGATCTCGAAAAGGCGACCTTCTAACTTCCGTTTCGGGAACTCTAATGCATTCGAATTTTGAAATAATTCACACCGTCAAATCGTGTCGATATGAATATCTTTCCTTTATTTTCAATATAAGGCCATGTGTCATAAACTGTTTCTAATCAATTAGATCTTAATTATCTTTTTTGGGCAAATTTGTCAATTTATGCTGGAAACATTGTCGGCAGGCAAGCGCTATATATTTCTTGCTCTCTCAAATCATTGTTAATAGAGGTGACCCCTCTCGGCCACTAACTATGCTCAAATGTCTTTGCAGACAAAAAAAAGGAGTCAAACTGAGCAGATCAATGCGATATCTATTGCCAAGCGTCCTTAATATGCTCCACAATATGTATACAATGTAGATCTACTGGCAGGAAACATTACATCTTGCAGATATCAAATTACTTTTTTATGATCCCCCGCCCTCCAGAAGGGCTGCATAGTTTGTTTAAGGACCGAGAAAAGATTACCCAGACCTTATTTTTTTCTCGTGTAATAACATTTTTTGACAAACAAAAACCTTTTGTTCACATACTCGTTCAGGGGTTTTTCTGCAAGTTTTCATTTTGTTTTTTGGATAAAATACTGATTTTAGCTACCCGAGGCTGAAGGTTGTTTTAAGCTCCACTAACACTCCACCGGGTGTGTGCGGACCCCAGGCCTTCATATCAAGACAAAGAGTAGCAGATTTATCCATTTAGAAAACACAATTCATTCTCAAGGAATAAACACTAACGGTAGACTAAGAATTCCCCTACTTGCCACTGAATCTTTCTGCCTCCCACCCCCCCGGGAATCCATTGCATTTCTTCATCTAGGGGTGGATATAATTGGGGCGCGTTGAAGAGGCCTAAGTACTCTAGTTTGGTTCTGAGATTTTTTGTGTTTAAACTCTTAGATTTTGGAAGGATTTTGAGGATATGGATCGATGTTATCCTATCACTGCAGTATAGCTGGCTCTGTTTCTTAGCTCCGTTTCCTACAGCTATCGAATCTTGAATTGTTTCCCCTGTTACTTAAGAGAACGTTTTAAATAAACAATTTGCGCTTTTGCTAATCTACGAAAACTGGAATCTTTTTTGACGGCCGCAGTTCCTATTTCCGCATCTAAATAAGTTTAATTTAATACTAGGGATTTCTTGAGACATTTGACCAAGAAGCAATCGTTGGGTTTGACAAACGGGTAGTCTTCATTGCGATATCTGTTAAGGGCCACACTAGCGTCATCCCACCGCTTGTAGAACGGCTTGGTGACTCTTTTCAAATAATAATTTGACTTTTTGTCGATTTCCCTGCTGAGCAAGTCTTCCAGTCTTTTGACTTCGTCAACCTTAGGCTGATTTTTTTCTCTTTCTTCGCATTCAATCTGCAGAGATAATAATAATAATAAAAAAGTATTTGAGGTATTAATAAGGGAAATGAGCAACTAAATATAAAGCTGTCTTAAAAAATAGATCAAAGAATGTTTGCATATGGTGTACCTAGCCTTCGGCCCAAATGTAAGCCAACTCCGGTTAGTAAAGTCTGCGAAGCAGAACCTATTCGGACTCAACGAATTACCGCAAATGCGTTTCAAATTTCCTTGACCGACAAATCAACAACGGGATTTTTAACAGGCCAGTCATGGCGGGTACTCAAATGCTGGTATTTGG